TCTGATAGGTGGAAAGTCAGTTTGATCCTGCTTTCTATCCAGATCCCCCATCCAGAATAGTTAGTTACGTTTGCAAAAATCAGGCACAAATGCAAACGACATTGTTTATCTGCATAAGGTTGTCTGGGAACAGACGTTAATATTCATTTGTGATCAATATTAACGAATAATTAATATTAACGAATAATTATTAATTAATCAAATAAATGGATTATACAGTAAAATACATTACACAAATCAAGGCCACTTACTGGCGTTTGCGTTGCTTTGTTTGAGTAAATGCGTCAGAATGCCGGTCATCGAAACATATGTGTTCCACTGTACGTTCGTAAGACCTAAGTGAAACTACCTGGAATGAAGAGATAAGAACGAGACGGCGACGCAGTGCATAACTTAATTACTGTACTCAAATTAAAGAAGGGTATGAAAATCCATAAGGTAATCACGCAAGTACACAGCAAATAAACTTATTAATATTCAAGAACAAAATAAGACCCTGAAGTTTATGACGCAATGGTGGGTAAATATTTAATGAATGTGTGCTAGGAATCACCGTTACAGGACACGAACGGACTTCTTTGCCACTGCCATATTATTTGGCTTTTGACACTTGAGATGAGGATCTTTCAATAAAGGGACCAAATTACAAGTAAGGTATGAAACGAAGTTAGCTATTGGTCAATATAAAATTTACCTACCGTTTATATGTCGGCCTGCAATTAAAATTTTCCCACTCATTTTCATCTTCAGCCACTGAATTGTAAACATTCATTTTTCGCCTGCTACAAGAGGGCCTGAAAGTGAAGCAGAAGACCGCTTCATTAATTTTAAAAGGTAGTCCGCCACTCATAAATGATCATTTATCGCGACCAATACGTAACGGGAGGTGCCGGGAGGTGATGCAGCAGCCCACTCTGATAGACTCAAGCAGCAGTGTTTCCCGTCACTTTCCAATGGTATATTTCCGCGTCCAAGATGAAAAAAGTGCTCCAGTTCTTTGAATCCATTGGGGTGAATAGGGGCTGGGGAGACATCGGCAACAATTGCACTTCAGGCCACCACTGCTAAACAGTTATTCGTCAAAAACGCTCAGAGAATGTACGATCCCGGGAAAACTGTAAATTATAGCGCGGCGGAAACTAAACGAAGTTTTTCACCACGCAATGCTCTTTTACCAGCAAACATTACAAAACAGTATCTTATCACCGATACCACGGTATTGCAAGAAGAGTGGAAGTCATTACACGTATTTTTACCGCAACATGCCACAGTCCCCCTGCTTTTACTAGCATAGGGGCCTATCTAAGCAGACCTCGGTTCCATAGTATTTAAATGCTTGCAGCGTAGAACGCATTCACTACATCACTGAGTCGGAACATGGCAACTCGTATCTGTGCCGGGATGAAAATTTTTTAACATGTAACGCTTATTAACCCGCAAGCGTTACATAGCTTTTACTTAAAATCCTATTATGGAACTGATAGGTACTTCAGAAGAATACATATAACAGAGAGTCATCAATAACCAGTTGGGGGCACTCTGCCCCTGAAACTAGATTTCATTCCATTCCATGCAAAGAGCAAACACTGCAATTATCGAATGTCATTTTACAGTGTCGTTTTACCAGACGTTTGGAAGATTAGAGTTACGCAGGGTGGTTGGTTACCGCACAGGCATCACTGGAAGAAAACTCTAGCCATTTTTGAACGAACCTGTCCGTGCCCCAAAGAAATAAAGGGCTTGGAAAACGAATGAATATAAAAATAAATCACTTCGAAATTTTACCTTCATCAGCTTCAATGAGGAATGAGAAGCTAAGCAATAAAGATGTTAACACCTCCAAAAGGCCAACCTCACGAAACACATCCTTCAAAATCGAGCTGTGGTGAAGAATTCGCGATAGGCTTTGAAGAATGATCAGGATCGAGTCGTAGTTTCTGAAACAAATATATGTTTATTTATTTACTTTCGCCTTTGTTAAAGCGAAGTCGCTACCGTTCGGTTTTGATCAACATGCTAATCGCGATCAGCTCCTTCGACGGAATGAAGTTAAGATGGAACGGAACATATTCAACGAGGTCCAGCACTTTCTGCTACAAAGAGAAAAAACTGAAGTGGCATGCAACGTTCCCACACGACGCTGCTTTCAGAAGATTAGTATTACAGTCAAAATTCCTTAAGCGTGACGATACCCTAGTCAATCATCTGCATTCTTAGTGTTTCAAGAATGTTTTTAGTTTCTAGAAAACCGGCACGAAAGTAAACAGGAAAGAAACAAGTACCACATTGGGCAAAATATCAGTAATAACGCAAATAGACAAATCAGAATAAGACAAACATGTCATAACGACTAAGTAAAGTAACTTAACATGAGGATATAAAGTCTGTTAGTTTAAGTGTAATAAGCACAAAATGAGTCCACACGGATGAACAAAGATCGGCTATTCAGAGAACCACGATATGCATCAGAACAGAACGTAAGTTTCTGATGCTGATGCAGAAACAGTAATAATGTGAGAGTAAAACAACCGGTTAAAGCGAAACGGCAGAGGGTTAGGAAGGCGAAGTTCAGTCTCTTACCGAAAGGTGTCCACAGTAAGAGGAGACATTTATCCAACCGACAGTTGAACCGATCTATTATGAAGATTACCGTCGTCGTACCATTTGCATTATCATTTGCAATATCTTTCTGTATTTCGAATGGACCCGATGATGACCTCGTTCATATCAGAATCGTCCTTGGACACACCATTTCAGAGGAACAATGCCGAATAGTAAAGGAGAAGGCACCTTTCCCTGAAGAACTAATAGAGAAAATCGTTGCAATAGCTCTCTGAGAGCTTCTTGCAGAAGATATGACTTCTGAATACACATTTTCTAAAATGAAACAGGTATGTTTCGGTATCAATTTAAACTTGCAAATTCAAAGTCAGAAAACTAGCAAACGAAGCAATCATTGTTCAGATATCCTAGAAAGACAAAACTTGGTCAGGGAGGACTACCATGTTAAGAAGTCTGCCTAATTTCGGATAGTTATTTCGCTTCATTTCACTGAACACAATCTTTTACTACTGATGAAGTAAAGCGGAATGGTTTAATAACCTGCGGTGTTTCACATAATGTGTCTCGACAAACCGGCCTTCATGCAACTACAGAACAAAAACTAGATAACCGAGTAATGAAGCCGAAGTTATTCAGTCGGTAGAGCGTCCGACTCAGAACCGAGAGGTTTCTCGTTCGAACTCTGGTAGGGTCACTCGGCTTTCCTCCTTCCAAAGTTGTTAAATGAGCAACACTCTGCGGGGCAGAAACGAGAGACTACATAC